GGCATCACAACACTTTAGTCTACGCTATGGTTCCATATCAGTGGTGGAACTTTAATAGCTTCCACTGCGAAACAATAGCAGTTATAACTGGAAACAGTCAAAAAGAAAGCGACTTAGACATCAGGAAAGGAATATATAAATGTTAGAGGCAAAGTTATTCAACCAAGAAGTATTAAAAATAAAAAAGATTGTAAAAATTGTTGCAAGTTTAAGTGTTTTGAGAAGATTTCAGAAAACGAGAGAAAAATATTATTTAATGGACTGTGGGGAATGTCTCAGATTGAAAAGCAACACTTTTTTAGTAAAACTACTGAACGATTAGATAAAAAAAGATCTCGAACCAATAAAGTAAGCAATTCAAGGAGAAAATATACTTATTTTTACAATTTCTTTGTTGATAATATCAAGCATCGTGTATGTAAGGAGTTTTATTTGTCTACATTAGACATCAGCAGCAGGCATATTTTTTATTTATGTATGTATATATTGTCAATATATACATACATAAATAAAAAATATACACACATATAGTATATGTGTATTACGGATTATAAAACCGATTCTGTTGTATATTTGACATATATGTATATATATATGTATATATATGGTTATATATATACAATAGTGTATATATATATAACCATATTTATTATATGATATATATACACTGTATGTCACATATACAACAGAATCCGTCTGCTTTTAATTAGATGATGATACATTTCTTACTAAAATAATATGTAGAATTATGAATAATAACTAAAAAAACCCGATTGACACTAGAATATATAAGAAAATACCTATATTTTTGTTTATTACTCTAAGATATACACTATTTTCATCCGCTATTTTAAAATTAAATTAGAGGAAATAAACACGAACTGATTACTTAATGTGAATTATACGCAATTTTATTGGTTGTTGGAAATATAACAAAATAACATTAAAAACTGTTGATATTTTGCAAATAGAACAATCGGAGACACCTGATTTGACACTATTAAAAAAAAAATTAATTTCAAAAGTAATACAGCTAATAAGAAAAATTAACAATAAAAAAGAAATTGGTATTAACTCATTTTTCTCAAATTTGGAGATAGAACAAAATAATTCTAACCTGACGATATGTTAAACACCAGTGAAATGGATACTGTCCACTGCCTTGAAATTTGTAAAAATTGTCCAGCTATGATTTTGCAAAACCCGATCCCTTAATAGGATCATTCTCAAACACACCTTAATGTTTAACAGTATTACTATAAATTAACAGTATAACTATATACTAAATTTAAGCTAAAAAATGTCCCTTGATAAAAAATGTCTTAAATAATTTGCCCTTAAAATACCCTTAACCGTTAAGAAATTCATAATTTTAAGGGATGGAAAACTGGCAAGCCTGATAACAATACCAATATACAACTAATATGATAATTAAAACACATCACAATTAACAAAAGAGTTAAGCAGTATAAATTTTTGTGTTGAAGGTTTTCTCACACACAATTGTAATAAACTATATACACGCAGATAATGTATTGTACTTACAACTAAATAAATTTTAAGGTTAAATATAACTGTTATGTATTTTGTTATTTGTCACATTAAATTCAATTATAATTAAATACAATATGTGACAAATAACAAATAATTATATATAATAATTATAATTAAATATAATACAAAATAACAGAAAACAAAATCTATAAGAGCAATTCAAGTTTAATTTCAAATCTATAAATGTCATTCAAATTTTGTTTTTCTTATCTCCCTTGTAACATTGTTGTTAGCTTTGAACATGGCATCTTTTAAGCCGAACATGGCATCTTTTAAATCTTTACAACGTCTTTGTGGCACAGATGTTTTAACACAGCTAAAAATATATTTATTTAATTAATAATATTCAATGCAAAAACTAAGTTTTTATATAAAAACTTATAGTTATCATTACTGGCCTATCAGTGTGAAATACACACTCCCATTCTTGAATGTCACCTTCTCTCCAGATGTTTTATTACCAGCATAACAAATTTTTTTTAACATATCTTGAGAAAAAATTTCTTTCATCATCATTTTAGCTGCTGTCGTTGTTGCAAATGTTGTCAACGAGAGTGCCTTTGTATGTTCCAAAAGGGACATTTTCTAAAGAAAATTAAAAAGAAAATTAAATAAGTAGACAAATATAAAATACTATATACATTATACAAATTAGAAAGTTACCATTATTGTTTCAATTATTAATAAGTTTATATTTTTTATAAACTTTAATATATAGTCATTGGGTACATATAAACTTTTTCAGAAATAATTTGAAACGAGGTTTTCACAACAATAGTTAATTGATTAAGCTCGGTTTCCAATAGTTGTAGAAATGTTGTACAACAGTTGTTCAATTTTGTTGTACAGCAATTTTTGCGGCAATAGATTCATTTCTATCTCTGCAACCATTGTTTTATAACATAAATTCTTGTACAACGGACGTTAAATTGTGCAACTTACGCTAGAAAATGTTTCCATTATAAAACAAAGTTGTGCAACTGTTGTATAACACTTCTACAGTTAATAGAAACCAAGGTTTAAAACGAATTTGTTTAAAATCTGTGTAGACTTTCATATACAATGCATTAGATAATTTTTTATTTGATTTTGGTAAATTTCATAATTTTGATAAGGATATAATCAAAAGCAGTTAAATAGTACTTTTTATACTTACTATTTTTTCTCAAAATACTGCCCTGGTAAAGCTTCCACTCATATATTCCGGTAAGGGGTTCAACACAAGACTCAATCATATCCTCTTCTTCTTCCTCTCTTAAGTCGCATGGCCAATAACAATCTGCAGCTCTTACTAACCAGACCATTGGTGCATGCATTGCATGCGGATATGGCGTTTTGAATCTGAATGCAACATACATATTTGACGTCTTAGGAAATAAATCTTTTAATCAAAATATATTTTGATTAAAAGATTTATTTCCTAAGACGTCAAATATGTATGTTGTATATAATATTATATTATATAATGTATATAATATTATATATGTATATAATATTATATTATATAATGGTATAAAAAATATTAAAGATTTACAGGAGTGAAACATCGCGCTTTTTAATTTTCTTTACGACAAGACCTGTATATATATATATATATATATATATATATATATATATATATATATATATATATATATATATATATATATATATATATATATATATATGTATATATATATATATATATATATATATATATATATATATATATATATATATATATATATTTATATATGTATATATATATATATATATATATATATATATATATATATATATATATATATAATATATATATATATATATATATATATATATAATATAATATAATACAATGTATTATATATATATGATTTATATATGATACATTTTATGATATATTATATCTTATATATAAGTTATATATATATATATCATATAATGTATCCTATAATGTATCAAATGACAAATCAATGGTTAAATATTGACACGAGAGTTATAGATCTCGCTTTACACAGAGGCCTATTTATATATATATATATATATATATATATATATATATATATATATATATATATATATATTATATATATATATATATATATATATATATATATATATATATACATATATATATATATATACATATATATATATATATATATATATATATATATATATATATATATATATAAATATATATATATATATATATGTATATATATATATATGTATATATATATATATATATAAATATATATATATATATAAATATATATATATATATATATACATATATGTGTATATATATGTATATATATGTATATATATATATATATATATATATATATATATATCAGGGGCGGATCCAGGAATAATTTTGACTGTAGCAAAAAAAAAAAAAAAAGGTCCTCAAATCCAGAGTACAGACACTCTTGACTCTCCGTTACCAAGTAAGGGAGGGGGGAATGTGCTCGAATCCCGAATACGAGGAGGGGGATAAATATAAGGGGGAGGGGGCAGTAGCAGATTACATCTTTATTTTATATGCTTATACAATATGCTTATACCTTGGTGAGAAACAAACAAAATACATTTTCGGTACAATTACTATGTCGATTATTTTTAAAGCCTGTTTACACTTTTTGTTTTTATCGGAGACTCAAAAATTGTTTTAAAATTTTTAAGGCCGATTTTTGCAGATTTTATTTGTTGTTTAGGTATGAGATATAAATATTTTGTTGATAATAAATAAAAGAAATAAAGGGGGTGGGGAGGGAGGTCTTAATAAGCTTAGTGTGATGGGAAAAAATATCGGAAATTAATAAACAATAGGGGGGGGGGCGTTTATTAAGGACTCGAGTTAGCAAGATAATGTTAAATGTGGGTGAATCTTATGATAATTTACCATCCAAAAATGATGGTTAACTATCTTCTCAAAATTAAATACCATTAATAAAATAGCAATACCATGACAATTAACGATTGCAAGTTATTCTTACCTTAATTGTGTTCAACATCCAAAACTGTTGGCTAATGATCAATAAAGTAAAGTTCATATCATGAAAATTTACTAAATTCAAACCATATTTTAACAGTATTCAAACTAAAACAAAATAATGGCAAAGATAGAACTACAAAAATATAAATAAAAAAAAATGTCATAAGAGAAAAAAAAACCTTAACTATTTTTTAACAAAACCTCATAACATAAATAATGTTAATAATAAATATGAAATATTTATGACATCAAAAAAATATCCTCTTTAAATATTCTATCAGTAATAAATAAAAGTATCCTATATAATATATCTATCTATTTATATATATATATATATATATATATATATATATATATATATATATATTTATATATATATATATATATATATATATATATATATATATATATATATTTATATATCCTATATCTATCTGTAATCAGTATAACTTTATAACAAGTATATCTATCCATCAGAGTTCAATATTTTTTTAAACTCAATTCTTCGTGGAAATGCAGTCGCAAATTCATCTACAACAATGTTTAAGTCAATTTCAACATTTCGATGAATGTGCAACATGGAAATGCCATTTAGGCGATTATCTGTCATAGAATTGCGCAAGGAAGTTTTAATTCTTTTCAGAGCTGATAATGATCTTTCACAAGTACATGTTGTAACTGGTACTGTGAAAAGGATTCGAAGTATAGTAGAAATATTTGGAAACGTATTGCCATCACACTTTTGTAGTGAATCTGAAATAGTTTTAGGAGCTGTTTCAGAGTGATTTTTCCAGTATACTTCCCACATATCCAATTCAGCATAAAAATAAATTGGTTCTGGTAAATCATTATTGTATGTATGAGCAAATTCTTTTACTTTTTTCCTCCACTTCTTGTCAGAGATTAAATTTGATGGTATAATGGCGAAACTATCTAGCAATGTTAAATTTTCTAAAGAAAATAAAGATTTTAACTGTGTTAGAATGTGATCAAGAAAAGGAATCGAACAAGTTACTCAATAATATTCACTAATATCATCTACTTGATGATTATCACGTTGTGTTTGTTGTCCACATGTTCTTAGTTTAGATGGCAAGGTATAATTAGTTGCTGCTATGGTAACAGCTTCTTTATACCATTCTGAGTGTGAAGTTTCAATAGAGCTCCAAATAGATAAAAGAGTGTTTTTTAAAATTTCCACATCATCACGAGCTTTTGAGAAGTCTTGATCAACTTTTTGCAACGTTTTTGTCAGTGATCTCGTATACCCTAATAACTTCCTGACTATGATTAAGGTGATGATAAACTTAAACGAACAACATATTGTCACATATGCAGAAGCATCACCTCTGGATTTGTAGTTCCATGTCTCATCTTCTTTAATACAAGTAAGAGATGCAATTATAGCTGGATATAATTCAATAAAAGCTTCAAGACCATCAATTCTTTCAATCCACCTGGTTCTACAAACATTTATTGTCTTTTGAAAGGATGATGTCGGATATAGCTCAACAATTTTTGTAGATAGATCTTCTAACCTCTTTGGAGAATTATTAAAAAAATCAGAGACAATCCTAACATGATCTATCATATTTCGAATTGAAGGAATTGCACATGCTTTGGCAACACACAGATTAAGTTAATGGGAATAGCAGTGGATGTATGGAGCTTTAGGAAAATCTTTTAAAATTAATGCTGCTACACCACAAAGACGCCCTGCCATGTTACCAGCCCCATCATAACCTTCCCCACGACAATAAGACATTTCCTGACCAAGTTTATGTATACTTTTCTTGATCTTAGTTGATAACAACACTCCAGTCAACCCACTATTGCAAGAAACAAGTCTTAAAAAATCTTCCTTTACTTTGCAGCATTCATCCACATACCGAACAACTACAGCCATTTGTGCTGTTTGACTAACATCTGAAGCTTCATCTGCTAAAATAAAAAAAAATTTTGCTTTCATTATTCTGTTTGTCAATAGTGATCGAACAACACATGCACAAATATCAATCAACTCATTCTGCACTGTCTTTGACCGATAAGTGGCATTTTTAGGACCATTTTTAAAATGGTCACTCAAGATCTTGTCACCGCATAATGCCATCAGATCTAATAAGCATTGGAAATTACCAGCATTATTACATTGCAAAGCAAGATGTTTAGCATCATCTTGATGTCCTCTAAGTGATATATTCTGCCTACAACAAAAAAGGATTGCACGTGATATTGAAAACAAAATTTGTCGATTTCTAGAAATATTATCAGATAGAAATTTATTGAGTTGCAAATTAATTGGAACGGTTTTTTTACTAATTACTGCTTGGAAATCAGGCATTATTTGTATGGAGGTTTTATGCATTGGTGAAGTGTTATTATGTGATATTATTCTTACATTTCCAACTGACCAAAACCGAAATGGATATACATGAAATAATTGACTAGTTGAAGAAGCCTTTCCAAACAGAACACAAGATATACAGAATAACCCATCATAGTACTTTGAGTAACAGAGCCATGAAAATTTTTTGAACCAAGCAGGGTTCAAAAAATTTTCATGGCTCTGTTACTTTTACGACCATTAGTTTTAGGAAAAACATAGTCAGAAGGTGGTATCCATACGTTCAATAGAATATTACGCTTCTCTCGGTTTGATAATTTCCCTACTTTGTCTACAAACAAGCCAATATCAAATTCGTTGCAATCATCTTCTGTTGTTGCATTTTCACAATTTACATTTACTTTTGGAATTACGACTCCTGATATTGGTTTTTCGAATTTATTACTTAAAACCGAAGACGAACTGGATACTGGCAAAGGTTTATTGTTCACTAGACATAAGAATAAATTTATATGCAAATACACCTACATACACGCACACAAACATACACACGCCCACACACACACACACACACACACACATTTTTTGACTATAGATCAAGAAGTTCTTTTGATATAGCAAATCTAGCACTAACTAAAAATTCTAAATATCTATAAGATCTGAACCCTAACAGATTATTGCATGAAATTTAGATAAACTTAGATAAAAATACTAAGAAAATTATTTTATAAACTTGTTGCTCCCACGTTAAGAGCTGGGTGGGCCTAAAAATTGGTACCCAAGCTCCAATCACCACAACTCTTTTCAAAACATACTTATTTGACATAAGCATCAACATACAAAAGTTTGGAGTTTGCACATGCCTGTAAGTATCAAAATTCAATCATCTAAAAAATCCACTGTACACCACTGTATATATATATATATATATATATATATATATATATATATATATATATATATATAATATATATATATATATATATATATATACATACATATATATATATATATATATATATATATATATATATATATACTATATATATATATATATATATATATATATATATATATATATATATATATATATATATATATATATATATATATATATATATATATTACATTAGTTAATAATACAATAAAAGTTAATAATTCTAATATGGTCAAATGGGGATACCAAAATGTGGACACAAATACATCTTTATATAACTATATCTATCTATATCTATATTTAAATATATATATATATATATATATATATATATATATATATATATATATATATATATATATATATATATATATATTTATATATATATACATATAGAAATATATATAACATGCCAACATTTTGTTGAATTTAAGTTTTTTAATATGAGCAATGTATTAATGGAAAAATTGCAAATGAATTGTCATCATTTTTGAGTTTTACACATTTGCCTTTCACATTTTGCAATCGGACAATGGGCCCAAGTTCATGGCTATATAAATATTTAGGTTTGACGATCTACACGGAATTTTATATAAATCAAGAAGTCTAGTAAATTTTCTTGCAATCAGAATATGTTGATTATTTCCTGTTGATCGAGTAATATTCTCCAATACAAATACCTCATTTTCGTTGGTCATAAAGCAGTTGTTAGGAATACTACATTTTAATGTGAAAGTTTCAAATTTTACGATACAGAGCTTCATTTCTTTGTGAACCATCTAGTATTTGTTTCATAACAAAAGGACCAATATAAAGAAGGAAAAGACGAAATTCTGTGGCTTTGAATAATGCTAAGTATGTTAGTTTTCGAGGACGACGCTGAAACTCAAATGGGATTTCATTTTTTATGGTCGTTATCTTTTCAGAGACTTTAGACCTTAGATTTATATTAAGCTTATTTACACTCGGCGCTTTTCCAAATAACTGTTTTAGTATTTTTTTTACTGTACCAATGTATAATTGATGCATAGGGTCTATAACTATCATAGTTATTATATCTAAAAAAGGTATTTGCTCAAGAGGTGTTTCTGCATGGTGATGTTCTGGTTGCCGCCTTGCTCTGAAAGATGCATTTGTTCTAACTGCTGCATCAATCTCCAAGAAAGCCTGTCTGTTGTTTATTCTTTCTCCAACCACTTCACATTTTGTACAGGAATATTACCCTGTATGTCCAATTGTATTAAGGATAAAACTTTTAGCTGGGAGGTCACAAACAAATCCACTAATACGAACATTAAATTGTTTATTTTCAAAAGCAATACCTTCATTGCACAATTCAAGGCATTCATTAACAAAATCATTTAAGTATAAATTTAATGATTCAGGTTTTTTAAATCCATGGAATACAACAATTTTAAACACAGATACAGAATTCAGATTGCTCACTTTCCCCAATATTGACATGAATTGGCTCGTGCTGCTTTTACTTATGCTAACACTGTCAATGTTTATTAATATTTCAAGGATACTGCCACCATCCAAAAATATCATTTGTTTCTTGAAGTGATTCTATTATTCCTGATCTGATTCCAAAATGGTAGTAATGACCTGGAGGAATTTTACGTATCACTACTTTGTTTGTAAGAGTTCTTTTTAATGCTTTACGTGTTTATGGCAATTTATTAGTGAAACATGAATGCCTTTTTAATAACTTAAGTAGTTTATTGGTTGCTTTTTCAGTTAGAGCTGACTCAGCCACAAGCGTTGCTAACTCTTGTCTAATATTTACTTCTTCATCAATTGAAAACAAGTCAGCTGCATTTGATGAATCATCTGGACTAGGTGGAGGTATTTGAGGAAGTAGTGTTTGGAGAGGCGGTGTCTGTATAGGTGGCAATATTGGTAAAGGTGAATCAACTTCAGTTCGACGGTGAAGTACTTCAGTATCTAAAACTTCAAAATCTGCATTACCATTACTTTAGTCTGTATCGGAGCTATGCTCTATTGTAGCTTGCTCTCTGCAATATTTTATTCTTTTGTAAGCTTGTGAGCCTATGAAAACTAATTCTCTTGATCATATTTGCTTCAAAAAAAAATGTGTCATTGTCACTATTAAAAATTGCTCTATTGACTGATGTATAATTATATATTTGTAGTCAAAGATTTAACATTACATAATGTATAATTCTAGTTACGTTAAAGTAGTTTAACATGTATATATATATATATATATATATTTATATATATATATATATATATATATATATATATATATATATATATATATATATATATATATATATATATAATTTTAATTTACAAAAATTAAACAAACAACGTTATTAAAAAAATTGTTTTAATCAGACTGATAGTAACTGATTATCAGTGTTTGTTTATAGCACTATAATTATTATGGTGCTATAAACAACTTATTATAGTGCTATAAACTATAGTATATTGACTATACTATAGTCTATAGACTATAGTATAGTCACTATACTATATATATATATATATATATATACATATATATATATATATATATATATATATATATATATATATATATATATATATATATATATATATATATATATATATATATATATATATATATATATATATATATATATATATATATATCAGTGGTGTACAGTGGATTTTCAGATGTTTGAATTTTGACACTTATAGGCATTGTGCAAACTCTAAACTTTTCTAAATGTTTTGCAAAGAGTTGCGGTTTTTGGAGCTTGGGGACAAAAAAAAAACCAATTTTCGGGCCTACCCAGCCCTTAATGTGGGAGTAACACGTTTATAAAATATTTTCTCTAGTATTTTTATATCAGTTTATATTCATCAATAAACTTCAAATTTCATGGAATAATCTCTTATATTTCAGAAACTATGACCATATAAAGTTTTAACTACCTCAATTTGAGGGGGCTGTAAACTTTGTACGGACATAAGAACTTAACCCTAAGAGATTATTGCATGAAAATTAAAATTTGTTGATGAAGTTTTAACCCCCCTTAATTTGAGGGGACTGTAAACTTTGTACGGACATAAGAACTGAACCCTAACCGATTATTGCATGAAATTTAGATAAACTTTGATAAAAATACTAAGGAAATAATTTTATAAATTTGTTGCTCCCACATTAAGGGATGGGTGGGCCCAAAAATTGGTCCCCAAGCTCCAATCACCACAACTCTTTTCAAAACATACTTATTTGACATTAGCATCAACATAGAAAAGTTTGGAGTTTGCACAATGCCTGTAAGTATCAAAATTCAATCATCTAAAAAATCCA